CATTCACCTCCCCACCCACCCACCCACACGCGCGCACGCATGCACACACGCACAGGCATGCCACCCCACGCACAGCTGCCATCCCTCCCCCGCAGGCACTCATCCGCCCCTGGCGCCTCTCCACCGTCGTCGCCAAGCTGAACGCCAGCGGCATACGCGGCATGACTGTGTCGGACGTCAAGGGGGCGGGCGTGCAGGGAGGTGGGCCGGCAGCTTGGCCGTGTGTGTGTGCGCGCGCGTGCGTGTGTGTGCGTGTGTGCGTGTGTCAGCTGGGAGTGTGGCTGCGTGCCTGTGTGTGAGTGAATGTGGCCGGCTGTGGTCCGGTGGGGATGCTGGCGCGGCGCCGCGCCAGTGCCCCGACCGCGCGTGCCGCCGCATGTACCGCCCGTACCGCAGGCCGCAAGGAGCGGTACGCCGGCACCGAGTTCGGCGGCTCCTCCGACCAGTTCCTGGTGGAGAAGGCGCGCATGGATGTGGTGGTGACGCGGTGGGTGCTCGGGGGCAGAGGGTGTGTGGGTGTGTGATTGAGCTTGTGCCGGGTGTGTGATTGAGCTTGTGCCGGCAGCCGTGGGGTGGGTGGCTGCTCAGGGCTGCCCCTACATCTGTGTGGGCGGCGGTGGCGGAAGGGGGGGTGGGTTGGTGGCTTGCTGCTTTGCCAGCCAGCAGAACCACGGTTCCTCGCCTGCCGCTCCTGCCACCCGGCCACCAAACGGTACTGCCCAGCCCACCCACCCACGACCTCAGCGCACGCACCCATGCACACCCATGCACACACACACACATGCACACACGTGCACACACGCACACGCGCTCCCCCGCCGTCCACACACTGCAGCGGCCAGGTGGACACGGTGGTGCGCATCGTGGCGACGGCGGCGCACACGGGGCAGATCGGGGACGGAAAGATCTTTGTGCACCCGGTGGCCGACATCATCCGCATGTGAGCCTCCTCTTTCTTAAGGTTTAGGGGTTAGGGACCCTAAGAAAAAAGCAAAGCCTTGCCGCCCCCCTGTGCCCCTCTTGGCTGCCGTCACTGGAGTGTGGGGCAGTACCGGGCCGCTGCTGCTCCTGCTGCTGCCGCCGCTGCTGATGCTGCTCCCATCTGAGCAATAGAGATCCGGTCTTGCCTCGCGCGGCACTGCTCCGGCTGCCCGCCGCGCCTCCCAGCAGCCGCACACAAACTCACAGCTGCAGCCTCCCACGCTTTTGCTAACGCACCTACCACCACACCCACGCCCCACGCCGATCCCCCACCCCTGCCGCAGCCGCACCGGGGAGACGGGCCCTCTGGCGGAGCGCATGGAGGGTGGCATGGAGGACATGACTGGGATCAAGGGGGTGTAGAGGGGAAGACAGGCTGCTTCGGCGCTATGCGGAGCGCTCGACTTCCGCGGCTTGCTTGACCGCGGCGGCGCTGGCTCGGCCGCGTTGCCACCACGGTTGGCTGGTGTCTTGCCTTCTTTTAGCTGTTTAACACCCGATACATCAAATGCCAAGAATGGTGCATCAGCCAGCCTGCCGGCTCATGGCCGCAACGCTCCGCAGCAGTGTACGCAGTTGTTCCGCCAGGCTCCGCACCAGGCCCAGCGCAGCGGGCAGAGCGTCAGGGTCGGGTCGCCGCCCCCCCTGCCAAACAACTGGGCAGCAGGAACAACTGCTCTTGCTGTCCACACATGCGCAGCAGTCTGCAGCCGATGATGCCAGATCCACCCCGCATGGGGGTCCTGCACGGAGGCTATCGATGCTCCGGCCTCGCTGCCACGCACCGTCCAGCCGTTTCCACCGGTCTGTGCATGCCGTTAGTTCGCCCCCTATTTACATATCGTTGCGCATGCTACTTTGCATGTTTGCATGTAAAAGCAGGTATGTACACATGTTCAGGAGCACTTTAAATCATCCATGATATCTACGGCGGTGTGACACCAATCAGAAACGGAGGGTCGTAAGATACAGGCTGGACAGGGGAGCGGCCACGAAGACCGCCACCCTCTGGCGGGTTGCCCGCCCCCCTCACAAGCGGAGGGTCTCATGCTGCAGGCGCTCCAGAGCAGGCAGCGCGGCCACCTCTGGGGGCACGCCGTCAGGCAGGGGCACACCATACAGACTCAGATCCCGCAGGCCGGTGAGCGGGAGCAGGTGCTGCCAGCCGCCCACCAGATCGGGGTTCCTAAACAGGCAGAGCCCCGTCAGGGTTGTCAGCGCCGACACCTGCTCGGGCACGGCTGTCAGCCCACAGTAGCAGAGCTCCAGATGTTTCAGACCCGTCACGCTGCTCAGCTGCTGCCAGTCAACATCTGCGGGGGCACCCAATGGGCTCGAATGGCAGTGCAGGCGTGTGAGCGCCATGAGCGCCGGCAGCGCCGCCGCCACGTCTGCGCTGCTGGCGACATTTGTCAGGCTCAGGTGCTGAAGCTGGTGAAGCGGCAGCAGGTGCTGGCAGCGGATGAGCTCCACAGGTTGTGGAGGCTCCTCGTCGTCGGAAGTCGCTTCCGACGACCAGCCAAATGAAACGGTTTCAACGTCCAGAAAGGTGAGGGCCGTGAGGGTGGACAGGGCGGCTGGCAGGCCTGGAAACGAGCGGGCACCAGAGTCACCACCCGACTCCGTGGAGAGCCCCAGGTGCTGCAGCCGGCTCAGGGCAGCCAGCCCGTGCCAGCTGCCGGTGCAATCGCTGCAGTAAAGCTCCAGCCGCCGCAGAGCTGTGAGCTGCCACAGGCTGGACAACTTTCCTCCAGGAGAAAGGCTGCTAAACAGAGGCAGCCGCAAAGAGGTCAGCTGCGTGAGGCGCGGCAGGGCGCTGGTGGGGAGCGGAGCTGACGAATTGCTTTTGCATTTGCCGGCAGCCAGCGAAGATACCAGTCCGGCTGGCAGGGCGGCCAGGCAGGCGACCAACTCCTCCTGGCTGGATGCCCTCACATACCGGCGCCGCGATGGAAGCTGGGAGCTGGAAGCAGGGCGCTGGAAGCTGTACAGACCGTATTGTGTGATGTGTGCATGCGCTGCAGCAGCAGGGGCTTCAAGCAAGTTGCAGCTGGATTTTGCAGGGTGGCAGGAGCAAAGCATACTGGGTGCCACCCAAAGCAGTGCCTTGCTGGCCGCTAGGGAGAGGGCACAGCTCACCTCCGTACCTGTGCAGCCAGGCCGCCACCGCCGCCACATCAGTCACGGTGGGCGTCACCACCACATCGGCCTCCTGGAACCATGCCAGGCTTGAGCCGTACAGGGCGGTGCAGCTGGCAGCCAGGTTCAGCCTGCGGTGGGGAGCAGGGTGGGCGGCACTCGCTCGCTGCACGGGCAGGCGGCATGCAGATCGCAGGCGCAGGACGTTTGGTGCAGCAAGCACGAAACCAATCCACGCAGACTGCCCCTGCCCCGCTCACTTGTCCTGAAGCGACAGGTGGGCGAGGATGGCCTCCTGCGCCGGGCTGGCAGTGCCCAGCACTGCCACAGGTAACGAGGCCATGGCGGCGGCTGCAGCGCAGCGGCAGGAAGTGCAGTTGAGGGGTTGATGCTCGATGGAGAAAGATGTATATACACGCGCTGCGAGGCTGCCTGCACACACAACAGGTGTTCGGCCGGGAGCGGCAGGCGCAGGCGGGCTGTGCTGGCGGTGCACAGCCACACGCCGCTGCTGCCTCGGCCCGCCTGCCTGCCTTGCCTGGCGTGCAGAATCGTGCGAGGGCCTCGTGAGGTGAAGGTCAGGCGCTGATGGGCAGGTGCCGACTCGAGTTCGACAACCAGCGCGAGGAGGCAATCGCCTGAGCAAGCTCAGATGCTGCGCCGGGTACACAGATGCGATGGCGGCCGTCAACAGCCACTCCTGTCCGCCCAGGCGCCGCAGCATGCCCAGCACAGCAGGCGGCAGAGCCTACCGTTCTGCCAAGCAACTGGGCAGCAGGAGCCTCAGCCTGACCTCACACACATGTGCAGCAGCCGTTTTAGCCGATGCCAGGGACGCTCCGCACGGGAGGTGACTGAAAAGGCGGCGATACCGATGCCCCTGCCTTGCCGCCGCCATGCTGTGCACAGCCGCCGCCACCGGCCGCCCTCCTGCCTGCGCATGCCGACCAATCTGCCTCCTATTCACAGATTACTGCACATGCGTCTTTGCAAGTAAAGCCCAGCATGTACACTTTACATTTTCATGAGCACTTTATCAAGGCAGGATGGAGTCGGGCTTTCAGACCGAGGGCGGCCGCCATATGCATTCCTGCAGGTTGCTACCCCATCACAAGCGAAGGTGGATTGGGCGGGTTGCTGCCCCCTCAGGGGCGGAGGGTAATTGGAAGCAGGCGCTCCAGCTCAGGCAGCGCGGACACCTCTGGGGGCACGCCGTTGGGCAGCGGCACACTGCTCAGATTCAGCTCCCGCAGGCGGGTGAGCGGGCGAAGGTGCTGCCAGCCGCCCGCCATTGCATCGTTCTCTGACAGGTCCAAGCGCGTCAGGGCAGTCACCGCCGACAGCTCCTCCGGCACGGCTGCCAGGTCACAACAGCAAAGCTCCAGACATTCCAGCTGCCGCAGGTCAGGCAGCAGCGCCAGCAGTGCAAGGCAGTCATGAGACTCGATGCTCAACCTGGTCAGCGCAGTGAGCTGTGGCAGCAGTGAGGGCAGCTGCTGAATACGGCACCTGCTGAGAGAAAGTTCTTGTAGCGCTGTCAGCCTGCACAAATTGTGCCAGCTCACTGCTGCTGCCGCAGGATGCTGGTCAATGGCGCAGCAGTAGAGATAGGTCAGCGCAGGCAGCGCAGGCAGCGCCGCCGCCACATCATCGCTGGTGACGACGCCGTCCAGGCCCAAATGCTGCAACAGGCTCAGCCGCTGCAGGTGCTGGGCGCGGATGGCATTTTCAGGAACCGCGTCTTCGTCCGCTACGAGGCTCAGAAAGGTGAGGGCCGTCAGAGTGGAAAGGCCGGCTGGCAGGTCTTCGAAGGGAGGCTCAGTACGGCAGTTCATCTCCAGGTGCTGCAGCCGGCTCAGGGCAGCCAGGCCAAGCCAGCCGCCGGTGCAATGAGCGCAGTCCAGCTGCAGCCGGCGCAGCGCTGTGAGCGGCCACAGGCTGGCCACATAGCCTGTTGGGTAGAAGCTGCTACGCCAAGACAGCTCCAGAGAGGTCAGGTGTGTGAGGCGTGCCAGGGCGCTGGTGGGGAGCAGAGCTTGGAGCCCTTCAATGTAATGGCCAGCAGCCAGCGAAGCCACCAGGCCGGCCGGCATGGCGCTCAGGCAGGCGCACACCTCCTCCTGGCTGATGTCCAGCTTGCCAGGATGGCTGGGTGGCAGAAAAAGTAATACGTTTGCACGAGCTGCAGCAGGAAGGGTTGGCAGGTGGAGGCTGGTGGGTGCACCACGTGGCAGGGGGGCAAGGAGACTGGGGGCCTCGCTGGCCGCCAGGCAGGGCAGGGCTCACCTCCATGCTTGTGCAGCCAGGCCGCCACCGCCGCCACATCAGTCACGGTGGGCGTCACCACCACATCGGCCTCCTGGAACCATGCCAGGCTTGAGCCGTACAGGGCGGTGCAGCTGGCAGCCACGCGCAGCCTGCGGTGTGGAGCAGGGTGGGCGGCACTCGCTCGCTGCACGGGCAGGCGGCATGCAGATCGCAGGCGCAGGACGTTTGGTGCAGCAAGCACGAAACCAATCCACGCAGACTGCCGCTGCCCTGCTCACTTGTCCCGCAGCGACAGGTGGGCGAGGATGGCCTCCTGCGCCGGGCTGGCGGTGCCCAGCACGGCCACAGGTAGCGAGGCCATGGCGGCGGCGGGNGTGGTGGGGCTGCAGGGCAGTGGCAGGGACGGCAGTTGCGGGTTTGATGCTTGTTCACTAGAGGGATCCACGCGCTGCTAGGCCGCGTGCACACACAACAGGGGCCGGTCGGGAGCAGCAGGCGCAGGCTGGTGGCGGTGACCGGCACACGCCGCTGTTGCCTCGTCCCGCCTGCCTGTCTTGCCTGGGGGTGCAGAGGCGTGCAAGGGCCTCCTGGGGCGGTGGCTCAGCAGCCGCCGGTGGCCAGTCCGACAGCCAGTGCGAGCCAAGCCTACAATTGAGTAATGCAGGGGCCGCGCAGCGATCACAGGAATGGCCGGTGGCCGCCAGCAGCACTCCTGCGGCCGCCAGGCTCCACAGCGTGCCCAGCGCAGCAGGCGGCGCCGCGCCCGGTGTTGGCCGCCGACCTTACTGCCGAACGACTGGGCAGCAGGAGCAATCCAGCCTGACCTCCACGCAATGTGCAGTTGTCTGCTGCCGCTGCTGCCAGGCCCACCCCGCATGGGACGACTGAGCGGCGGCACTCGATGCATATGCCTCGCCGCCGCGGTGCCGCAATGCCGCGCAGAGCCGCCGCCACGACCCGGCCAGCCCCCCCGCCTGCGCCTGCCAGTGGCCAGCCCCCCCGCCTCCTTTTTACAGGTCATTGCACGACGGGGCCGCCCCGCTCTCAGTTCAGATGAGCTTGCCCCGGTTGCGTGGGATGCGGGCGGCCTGCTGGGCGCGGTGCTCCTCAAGGCTGATGCCAGCCTCCGCCGCCAGCTGCGGCAGCGGGGGGGACGCGGCGGGCGGCTGTCGGCCAGGGCTGGGCGCGGTTGCTTTGTTTTCCTGTTTTCTTTCTTCCTGGGCACCGGCACGGGCAGCCGCAGGGCAGGGCCGTGACACGGCAGGCCCGCCGCTGCCTCCCAGCGCCGACTCAGCCGGACAAACCACACATGACAACAAGGGCAGCACAAGCATGCAGAGGGCGTGCCTGTGCGGGGCTCTTGTACACGTGGTCGTGCATGTCATCCACAGACATCCTGCAGGGAAGAAAGGCAGGGAGGACGGAGGAAAGACAGTGAGAAGGCAGCCAAGTGGGGGAGCGCGCCTGTGCGCACGCCGCCGTGCGTGATGTGCGCTGCCGTGGCCGGGCGACAGACCGGGAGCGGAGCGTCCGGGGGCCCGGCCGGCGCGCGCCTGCCCCCGCTGCTGCTGCAAAGCCGCCCCCAGCCACGCCCAACACCCCCGCTGCTGCTGCACAGCCCGCCCCGCGCCATGCCCCGCAGCCCTGCCCGCTCACTTGGGCGGCCCGCGCCGCTCAAAGTAGGCCTGCGCGGCGGCCGCATCGTACGGCCTCACTTTCTGCAGTACAGCAGCGGTACCATGCCAGGGAAGCAGGGCATCGGGAGCCGTGTCAGTGCGCGGCGCCGAGGACGCTCCAGAGCAGGTCTGGAGCGGACACACGCAGAGGTACCGGCAGATCTGGCGGCACAGCAGTACAGCAGCCAAGCAGCCGGCCGGCCGCGGCCCGTGCGCCGGGCCGCCGCGCCCAGCAGCGACCACTGCCGGCCAGCCAGCCAGCCAGCCGCAGCGCAGCCGAGCACCCAGGGCGCCAGCCCCGGCCCTCGCACAGTACATGCAGTACCAGCGGCAGTACCAGCGGCACCCACAGCCAGCACCCCGCCCACCTCCATCACGATCAGGCGGCGGGTGTACCGTGAAGACAGTATCTGCTCGCAGTTGGCCACCACCTGGGGCAGTACCGCCGGGGGGCAGGCAGTACACTTCAGCGCCAGGCAGGGAGCGGGCAAGGCAAGTTCGACCCGCGCCTCTGCCACCACGGCGCGCCTTTTCCCAACACCTTCCACACACACACACACACACACGCGCGCGCGTGCTCACCCGCAGCATGGGGTGCTCGGGCAGCTCCGCCTCAAAGTACCCCGGGGCGGCGGCCAGCCAGTAGGCCAGGCGCCCGCGCGTGCGCAGCAGGCGGGCGGCGCAGTCCAGCAGGTCGTGCATGCACTCTGCAGGGGGTGGGGTGAGATAGAGGCGTGGCGTACATGCAGTCTGGGTGTGGGTGTGGGGTGGGGGTGGCTAGCAGGCGGTGCATGGGGTGCGTGGAAAGAAATGAAGAAAGAAAGGGGTGTAGGATCGGAGGGATGCAGGCAGGGAGCTTTGAGAGGGGGTAGTGGCGGCGAGGCGGCGGCGAGGCGGTGGGTGGCGGCGACGGGAGGGAGGGGCGCAGAGGCCCCCCC